TAATAATATACTGTAATTATATAGCACTTTTCAAAACACTGTTAAAAAGTACATTACTATAAAAACAGGAAAATGAGAACATAAAAAATTGGGTACCAATAAGAACCCAAAAAATATAAAGTGAATAAAACAGCAACCGAACAAAACCTAATGGGATGAAACACTAACAAAGTAATAAATATGGGTATTCCAAAGTCTAGGAGTTCTAACTGCATGTGCTTTATTACATTTGTTTGTCAAAGTCATTGGCATATATACAATGGACATTGCATCACCACTTCCCTCTACTGTGCTAAAATGAAGCAAAAATATTGTGAATACAGCTGCCATCTTGCTGTTTTACAACCAGATTCTGCACAGTAGTGACTAGAAGAGGAGTGACAGCATCAAACCGCCAGTCAAAGCTGTCAAATCATTTGAAATACACCCCTTTATATATCATCAAATAACTTATTAAAAACAAGCTTACCAGAAAACACACTGTAGCATTGATCTTTCCTAACAGAGCTCTTAAGGAATGTTTGACAGTGTTTAAAGGAATTATCCCTGCATGCCTTGTTCTAACTGTATGACGTATTGTGTGATCAATCAGACTGTTGCACAGGAAGTGAATTTTGTCTCATTTTTTCAGGTGGTTCTTTACATTATTGTCTCTGCTGCATGTGGAGGCCTCAGCTGGTCTGCTTGTGTCAACAAATGAGAGCAGAATAGAGCTAAAAGAGAGGGAGATAAAGGAAGACAGGATGTGGGGAAGACGTGCCTGTTTGATTCTGCTTGCTCACGGACACAGAAGGAAACAAAACGTTTCTTGCTTTGCTCATCCCTGGAAGACACCTGCTGCTCCTCCTCCTGCCTCCTTCCTTGACTCCTCCTCTTTAATAGTGTGTGCACTGACTTGCCTTCTGGACCGGGAGTCCCACCTCATCCCCACACTAAAGGACAGCAGCCATGTGGCCTAACTGATGTGCAACAATAATCTTGATTTATCATAGTCTGGTACATTCATCCCATTTCATGCACATGGATCAGTTTGTGATACCTTCCTGGACCTGTCTATGTAATTATTCCATTCAGACTGGTTACAGAACCAACCACAATTATAGAAAAAATTTTTTTGTAATTGTCCTGCTTTTCCATTAATAGAGGCATATAGGACTTGCAAGTATAAGAAGCATTTATAGTGTGTTGGCAGATCCACCAAGAAGGACTCCTACAGTACAGTGTCTGGTCCTGTGTATAACTGAAAACAAAATTTTTGACAAACTGATGCAGTATACAGATTTTCTGATTTACATGTTTTATCACCAAGCACAGATCACCTCCTAAAGTGGATGTTGTAAAATACTAGATATGATCATACAAATAAATACTGATACTGATATTATAATTCAAAAGATGTAATGGTTATTTAAAATCAAGCTTGATTTTTGAGAAAAAAATTTTCCCACATGTGGAACTGGTAGTGCATTATCAACCTTTATCTGTGTTGGGGTATTCACTGTGCTCATATGTTCTTTCTGTTAACACCATGCACTTTTTACATTGTACATAATTTGCTTCCTGTTAATAAAACCTGATGATATCAAGTGGTTGATCTCTGCACCTGAAATGTAAAATAAACGATTTTTATTTCACCTGGTTATAATGGTAAGGGCTGGAGTGATGAGGGCAAAAATGTCATTAATTTATTAAAAACAAATTGTGTATGGCTTTCAGAAGTGGGCGCCAACTCATCACATCGTGTCAAAGTTCAAGCAAATAGCACTTGTTCATTCTCCCTTATGAGCAGTCTGTTGGCTGAAGGACAAAAAGAAAAGGAAGCGACCAGGTGAAAATAATTGCTCATCTGGGCTTGGTGCCTGGCCAGAGCCGTTCTAATGTTGGTCGGTCGTGTGACAGGTAGAGTTTTGATTTTTTTTTAATTGTGTTTTAAGACACTCAACAGTATTTTACTGTGTTTTAACAGGCGGCAAGGCAGTTTCCCACCACACCTTACTTAGCTAGTTTGGTTGTAACTGTTATATTTGAGTTACAAAAAGTTACACCTCACGTGTTATAAATTATCGCTACACCAAACTGTTTTTATTTGCTTTAAAGGTAACATTTGGTTAGCTAGTTAGCATAACTGCTAATTTTTGTCAACCGCTTTTTTCCCCCGCGACGGTTGAAATTCGTGTAACGTTAACGTTAGTGGTGGTCTGCCGTGTTTTTACTTAGCTTTAGCCTTATTCAACGCTAACGTACACATTTAAGCCAATACCGGGGCATTTGATTAAGCATAAGACTATCTTAATCATTTAATTTGGAGGTGTCTCCTAATCTGCCGTTTTGAACCATCTATGGACTTGTTTGCTATTTGTAGATGCAGCCTATGTTTACTCCTAATCTAATAAACCTGATTTGCGGCAGCAGGAGGATTCACACTGGGACTGTTTGTCAGGTACAAAGTCTGTATGGTTCTGTGCAAGGAGCCACTTGCTTTGCTAGTTTAAAAAAAAAAAGGTACTTGCAACTTCATGTGATTAGAGGAGCCAGAGGAACGAGGTACTACGAACACACTCAATCAGGTAGTTGTTGTCCCTTTAAATACTCATCGTTGACTTAGTGAATGTGGAGCATCTGCCTTCAACTTCATTAAATTGTGGTGATTTTAAAGCCAGTTTCTATATGGTTGAGGTGTTAATTGCACTGCAAGGAGAAACAATGTCAGTTTAAGATGTCAGATTCTAATTCATCCAGGTCATAGTAAGCTGAAAACAGAACTGATGAAGCCTCTTGGATGAGAGGTGAAACGTCTTGGACCTAAAAGCCTAGTCCAGTTTATTTTTCTAAGTCTTTTTCCAATGTCAGTTTAACTCAGATACCTTTATATATAGCCACCTTATGTACTGTACAACACCACAAACACTAGTCTCAAAAATATAGGGTGTATCTGACACAGTAGTTCAGGACAAGCTTGAATATTTGTCAACATGGACGTAGCATCTTGACCAAAATAATAAATAAATAAAGGTCCAACTTACTGTATTCAAGGCTTTCAAATGCATCTGGTACAGATTTGATCAGTTGGAGTCTTTAATATGGAAATGCATCAGTAATATGTCTGTGTATGCATCAAAGTTTAGAATAATAAAACAAAGAGCTATGGCTGCTGACACATATGACATGTTTCTTTTTTTTCACTAGATGACATTGTTTCTGTTTCTTCATGCTAGAGCAGACAGGCTAAAATTCAGACTGATAGTGCTGTTCTTCTAACCAGGCTCACTGGTTTGGCTTTCCTGCCTTGATCCTTATAGAGGCCAGCCTTGTCCCTGTGGTATGCTGGCTGGAATGCCCCAGTTTGACCTGCTGCCCTACTGTGGTGTGGGACAGCTTTCTGACAGGGTTTTGATGGCTGCTCCTTCTACTCATACAGCTACTCACTGTTTGATATTGATATACCCAGTCACCTATGCAAATGCAAGGAAAGGCCATTTGAGGATGTGTGCGTGCTGCCTGAGGGGCTTCAGAAATAGAGAAGCAATATTCTATTGCTCTCACTTTACACTTTTTACATGTATAATGCAATTTGAAGATATTGTTTTGCATGAAATTGTCTAAAGATAAACATGTACTTTGAGAGATCCCATATCAAACACTGAATTTTTCGACCATTAATCTGAACCAATTATAAAATAACCCCATTTTGTTTTTTGACAAGGCAGAATGGTTATGACACAATCAGTATACCACAGTAACTGACAGTTGACCATGCAGGTCAGAGGAATTTCAGTCAAGCACTTGTTTTGAATGTATTTAGGTGCTGATGTATATCATTGAAGTGTTAACTCTTGGGCTGGAGAGCCTAAGGGTGCTTTTTTTTGTAAAATTATGTTGAAAATGGACATCACATTTACATTCATCTTCACGTGCCAGTTTAACAATCTTGAAATGCATAGATTACATAAGACTCACTAAATTAGAGGTTTTACAGGATATAAGATCATATATTGCCACTAGTCGAGATTAAATTGTAGCTCCCATGGGCCTTAAGTAGCAACGGCGTGGGTCTTAGACTATGGTGTCACCCCACTGCTGTTGTGTCAGGGCTAAGTGTCAAGCTCTAGGTGTACAGTGTGAGATCATGTCATCAGAGAGTCCTGTTGTCATTGGAGAACTTATTGCCATGTGGATGTTGTAATTTATCTTGTAATGAGTGCGTTTCAGTGCATATTCTGGTTGGTTTCTGCATAGTACAACATTATCCTGCATCTAGGTTTCCCATCACTCTGCTTCTTTTTTCATTTATCCCTTACTAAAAAGCCACCTGATCCATTCTCATGAAAGAGGGACCTTGGCTGCATAGCAACAGTGAAAGCCAACTCAGCCGGGCAGGCCGTGGCCACTCCCCCTGCACTGGGCTCAGCATGGGTAGGGCAACATGTTCATGTCTCCCTCACTTGCTCCCTCTGTAAACTTGGGAGTGGAACTCTACACTGAGCGCAGTCCATAGCAGGACCTTGACATGTGTGCAACCAAGTCACTGATAAGTGTCGTACACAAGGACTAGTTGGAGGAGAGCGCTGCAGTAGGCCTGCTGGACTAAGTCACGTTACCTCAGGGAGAGGAAGAGAAAACAATCTAATGCCTGCACAGGGGGCACCCTCATTCAGTGATGTTACTAATGCACTGTTGGCTCTGAACACAAGGAGGGAGGAGTGGTGGAATGTGGGCTGGTGGTGTCTGGCCTAAGGAAACTCACACACCACTGCCTGTCCAGTTGGATGAATTTTGCGCTTTTAGTGGAAAGAAGTTACTGGATTATCTTGGAGGAAAAATCAGCAAAAATGGAGTGATGTGACGTGATATAGCAGGCAGCATGGCTGACTGTGGAGGCATTTTCTTTAATACTGCAGTCACTGACTGGAAAAGATGAGTGGAGGTATTAAAAGTTAGTTCATACTCTTGTTTGTCTGTTTTTTTAATGACAGGAAAGTATTGTAGACCTGTTTTAATATGTTTTTCTATTTATTGGCCCAGTCACTTGTAACTTGAATCTTGTGATTTTATTTTTCCATAAACATGGTCAGGTTGTGGTTTATCTCCAGTGCAATTGTACTTTACTGTGCATGCCACATAGTAAAATCACTGCTCTGAATCCTTCTTTTACATGGGAAGGCACTGCAGTGGTCTTGGAGGAGCTGTTTCTGCCAAGGTTGTATGTTTTATTGGGTTGTAGAAAGAGAAATGTACAGTAAGGTGTGTGTTTTTCTGCCTGTTGAGTAGACATGCCCTAATACTCATCCAGATTTGGATTGTTGGCCAAGGACTGATTTGAAATATCAACAGTAGTGTTGAAAGTAAGGCAGATGTAATTTATTGTGCATATCTATATTTTCAAATGTAAAAACCTCTCTAAAGAGTAGAGTAACACTCGGAGGATGTTTCAGCTGAGGGCTCTAATTATGATATAGTTCTGTTCTTTATATGCATAGCCTTGTGGGACAGCTAGTCTTGATTTGGCTCTGACTTTTAAAAATTGTTTTATGCATTTTATGTCAGGGGAAAGTCGCATAGCCTCACTTGTCCTCACTGTGCCCCCGACTCAGTGAAGTTTGTAGAAATGCAGCTGACTGTATGGTCTCATGAATAGTTTTGCTCCTAACCATCAAGATATATGTTTGGTGTTTTCAGTATTTCAAGATGACTAAACTGGGGTAGAAGAAGATACAGAGTGAAACTACACAACATAAAATTTTTTCACTAGAAATGTGTTTAGGTATTTTATTATTGTTCCCCTTAAGTGTTAAACTTAAATACACCAGAATTTCAGCATACTAATGGAACATTTTCAGGCTGCTGGTGACCTGATATCTTAGTCTCTGGTGGTATGTACCACAATGGTGGTTTTGTTGTAGTAGTGGCTAGCAAGCTTAACACTCTGGTCAACTTGGCACTGACAACTGCCGTTTACTTCTTATGGCAGACCCATGGCACTATAGTATTCCCTAAACATGATCCTAGTGACCTTTGAATTTTTATTGGATTAAGTTCTAAATGATTGGAGTATCCAATTTTTGATGGCTGTTTAGAGTGCTATAGTGATGATGCATTTTGTGGGCCAACCTGGAAAGTAGCATCTCCTTGGTTCCCTTGATAAAAAGCCAATTGGATTTTTTAATAGGCTTTTGGATTATTGTGAAAAAATAAAATCTGTGACAAACAGTGTATGGCATTTATACTTTTTGTTCAGTAAGATGATCTTCACAAGTGAACACCACTTTTTTGATTTTTGAAGCCCAAATACGATCGCCAGGCATAAAAAGCTATTAGGCTATAAAGGAACTACACCAAAGTCCTGGGACAGTTTCCAACATGTACTGTAATTTGACTTGGCGTGCTTGCCTTCTCTACAAACTCCTCTTAGTGTGATCTGATGTATCTAGTGATCATGACTGTCTTAGACTAATTTGCAGATACATGAGTTTAAACATAATGAGGCTGTAAATGCTGCTGATGTGCAAAATCCCAGAAAGCCTCTGTAGTCTCATTTGGCCATTGCTCTTTTTAGGACAAATAAAAGCATAAAACATCAGAAATGGGATATTTACTGGTGTATTTTATATAATGGAACAAAGCATGCAAATGTACTGGCCTTGTGTTAACCACAGATCTTACTTCAGGCATCTAACCAAAACCGCTCAAGCCCTCTGTGACCCTAAGCAAAGTCATATGCTGGAACATCAGGGCATGAGTCTGTTGCTCAGTTTGAGGTGTTCCTGTTAACATTCCATGAAATTACAAAGATCATGGTGTCATTCTGGTTGTAAAAATTTGACATTGCCCTTCTCTTTACAGATATTTGTGCCTGATCACATTTGATGGATTACAAGGCTACTAACTGAATGTAGGATTATTTAGAGCTACAGAAGAAGACAAGATCCCATATAAATTCTAAAATGTCAAAGACCTTTCCCATGTCCAGTGATCAAGCTGAGAGCCTAGTGCCTCTGCCTAACACAGGCCTGCAGTTGGGTCAATCTTTGGAGAGTCACTGCAGCAACTCATCCATGTCCTCATCAACTGACTCCAACAGTAGTGTTCCAATCCTGAGTGACAGAGGAGCCAGTAGCTCCCCTGATGTCAGCATGCTGGAGTGTTGTCTCAGCGAAGGTTTTCCTGTGAATAAAACCTGCAACATCACAGCACCACAGGGGGATGTGCCCTGTAGTGTAAGCATGAACCTGAATCAAACATTTATTACCACACCTCTTAATGCCACTGTGAATTTCTGGATTGAGAATTTGAGATTGATGAGGAGCCAAGAGACAGGATCAGAGAAATACCAAAGCTGTAGTATGAGCACAGAGGGTGGAAGTAATAGTCCAGAGATGTTTCCAGACTTTGCTGGGAGGGAGAGTCAACTAAGTTCATATGAGGTTTCCCAGAGAGGATGCACTAGGAATAGCTGTCACTCCCTGAGCTCTGGGGAAATGGTAATGAGGAACAGCAGTCTGGAAGGCCAGTCAGTCTTAGTAGTCTCTTCCCTGGAGGATTTATCTCTCTCTACAGCTGTGGGCCATCCAGCACTCCCTGCTGCATCTAACCTGTCAGCCACTCTGTCGAATGTCTGCGAACAATCTGCAGAAAGAGTCGCAGAGGAAAACATAGGCCATCCATGTCTTGGTATGACTTTCATTCTGGCTGACAGCCATGAGCTTACCACTGAGGAAAATGATATGGCACCATCCAACTCTCTTCTAACCCTGCCAAATGAGAGTGGCAGGGGTCTTTTGATGAGCTTTGGTTGTGAAACATCTTCTGAAAATTGGAAGAATGAGGCTCTGTTAGCTAGTGCTGAAGCAGAGTTGTTGCCCCATTTCCCTGGAACAAATACACCAGAGCAAGTAAAGACCTTTGTGTCCACTATGTCAGCTATGCAAGAAACTGATAAAGGCATTCATACTTCCACACCAGTACAAACCACTAGGAACAAGGTACTCAGCCTCCCCTCCTTTTCAGAGTCTCCCTGCAGTGAAAACACAAGCAGCCTAGGACTCCACCCTGTTAAACAGCAGCCAATCTCTGTGACTCCTAAAGAACATTTGGCAGCTGGGCCTTTATCCACCAAAGTCAAGAAAATTGAAGTTAAGAATTTGTCTAAATCAGACTTAAGTAGTGTAAAATCTAAAGGTGTGACAGGAGCTGTGTCTCAAATGGCAGTGCCAGGCTCTGCTTCACATCACAAATCATCACAAATCCATGTGAACAATAAACACAGTGAAGCATACAGAGGGAAAGCTATCAGGACTAGTCCTGCCAAAGTATGGAGTAGCTCTACACTTGTCTCTGCCATAACTAAAATGTTCAGTGGTGCAAAGAGACTAGTGAACACAGATGCTGCCAACATGGGAGTGGCAGTGATGGAGTCATGTGGGCATACTGTTGTGGAGGGACAGGACAGTAACAAAGCATTCCCACATGACTGCAACCCAGCGCCCCAAAAACATACTTCAGCGGTCCAGTGCAGTAACAGCAACCCTGAAACAGAAGAGCCGGCCTCAAGCCAAGTAGTAGATGCCTCAGCACAGCATCCTGCCAACCAGACCTTCTGCATCTCACCCAGAAAAAAATCTCCTGATGGACGTGGCCAAACAGATCCCAAACTAACTCCACAGAAGGGTATGTCAAACAAAACTGAGGTTAGGTCAGGCTCAACTTTAAGTCAGCACAAGCCTTCTGTTCTCAACACACGGCCTCGCTGCTCATCAGAGAGCTTATCATCTAGGCCGCCAAAGGACAAGAGAACGGCTTTAGGTTTTTCAGCAACTTTTACTGTTCCCAAAGCTGTCACCTGCCTGGGCCAGACCAAACCAAGCAATCTGAGCTGCTCTTCCCAGAATAAAAGAGCCGTACAGTCTGAGGCCTCAAACACACCTACTGGAAACTCCACTAGAGTGATTAAAAAGATCAGTCTGCTGGTGGGTATGGACTTAAAATGTAAACAATTAAAAATTCAACAATTTATTACATATTTTCAAATGCAGCATATTTGTTGCAATGTTTTCTGTACACCACATTAAGCCTTTTCCTCAAATATTTAATGATTTAACTATTTTTAGAGTAGAGACCAAGATTTGGTTTGAGCCGGCTAAGGCCAAAAGCACAGAGCTGAGTGACTAAGCAACAAATTGCTCTCTTATAGGCAGAGCGCAGCAAATCAACAACAGAAGGAACCACATGGGATGAGAGTAAAAGCAGAATCCATGGAAGACCTTCACCTAGACCAACAAGAAGAGCATTTTCACAGCTTCCACCTCCCAGTCCAAGACCACCCACTGTGTCAACCAAGCAGAAGCTGGGAGCCCTGGGGAGGGGTGAATGCAGGATCTCTGGAGTTGTATGGACACCACAGTCCAAGCAGAGGAGCACAGCAGGTAGGAACCACCATTGTTGGACATTAAGTGCATCCTGTGCTGGGTTGATATGCACATAAACTGAGCCTGTGATAGCTGTTCATTTGTCTCTCAGAGGAGAAAGTTGATCTGTAAATGACAGCAGGTCATAATCAACATCCTCATAAACATGTTCACCTGCCACTGACTAAGCAGAGACTAATGATTTCCTCTGTTGTTTAAACAGATTTGTTATAGGTCTGAACCTTGTGTATAATGGCAATAAGAGAATGATGTACCTGATGAATCATGTAGGATTAGTGACACTACCAGAAGCACATAGTTTTGTGTATGTGGTGGGGGTTATGCACTGTAGCAGATCTGTCAAAGCACTGTTTTAACGGTGCTTGATACAGTTCAGATGACTAATCAACATTTTTGTCTTTCACTAGCTCAAAGTCAGGAATAATGAAATAGACATACTAAACATTTGACGGGTTTCTATTTGCATATCTATGTTCAACTTGCACGCTTGCACATTATTCAGGTTGTAGTAAAGCAATATTGCCATCAGAGGGTGGCATTGGGCAGTTACTCTATAGACCCACTGTTTGTTTCCTCATGAGCTCAGTTGTGTTCCAGAGGAACACTCTTGTATACAGATGTTACCTCTGGCTTCTTGTCTTGGGGATATACTGCCAGCCCCCATTGCCCTGCTGTTCGTAGTAGTAGTAGCAGAAAGTAATAACCCCCTCATGCTCTGGCTCCAGAGAAGCTCCACCGGGATACATTATTTTGTTTAAACCACAACATTTTTTGATCACATGTGACATGCTTGATGCAGTGAGAGAGGTACGTTCTGTGCTAAACATGATGATTACCTTCTTTCTCCAAGTTTTAAGATTCCAGGGATCATTTTTCCCCTTCATTTATAACATTTACACTGTTCTATGCTTTTAAATGTACTTACTGTATGTGTGTGTTTGTACTGTTTTTGATTTTGGACAATTGTCTCTAAACTATCCCATGACATGCACTTACACTCCTAGTGTACCTGTCATAAGATAAAGATTGGCGGCTTTATTAGGCATTAAGTGGTTTGAACCACATGAGCAATATACCAGTGGGCTCAGTCTGTGTAGTTGCCTTTAATAAAGAGCTTCATGTCTCTGACCTCCTCTACGTTTATCTGTGCTCTATTGCATCCCAGGCAGTCAGAGAGTGCAAGCGTCAGGAGAACCATCCCTTGGAAATGCTTCCAGAGCAAGTATTAAGCCCCAGCTGAATGGATTCCAGACTCCGTCTCGCCCCACTCCTATTGGCCTTCCCTCTACACCTGCTTCTAGACTACCAGTCAAAAACCCAGGGCCATCAAGGAGCCTCACTGGTCAAAGTGAGCTGGGCGAATGTGCTGGGAGTACACAAGGTGAGCCTATCAAGGATTTGCATAGCTTTTAGAAATTGGATATAGAAATGGGTTCTTACACAAAGGTATTAAATCAGTGTTATACAGGATGCTTTCTAGGGTCAGGCACAGTTTTTATTTAGCTTTTTTTGAAGTGCCCATGGCATGCTCATTTTACTTGTTTCCAGCCATTTAATGTTTAAGCTTGGGTACCTCTAGATTATCTTGGCACCCCTCATAACTCCAAATAGTCTGTAATTGTTTCAGAATCTGTGAGCCACAAAGCCGCTTCCTTAAAACAAAACTCCTGCTGCCGGTGTTGTGTCGCAAGTGGCCACCACAATGAACTGTGACAGCATTACTGAGTTTCTACTCCATAGATAGGTAAACAATGGTATATGTACCGATGAAAAGAGATGTGTAACACTCTAAACAAGCAAGTAATTGAGAAACCCCATATTTTAACTGGCATAATGCAGACATAGTAACCTCTACAGCCTTATAACAGTTCTCTACCACATTACAGGAACAATGCATTAACAGACATGCACCTTTTCTTTTTTTTTCTTTTCTTATGGTTAAGTCCCACCAAGTAGTGGAAACATCACTCCCTTTCAAGTAGCTCCAAGGTTGGTAAATCCAACCAGTGGTCGCTGGGTCTTCCCCCACACAACATGTAGTGACACTAACAGGTAGTAGCGCTAACAATAACATCATGGGTCGTTAACCAGCAAAACATCACATGCAGCAGACACACTGGCCTCAAGCAGTCAAATGAACAGGTACTGTGCTCCAGGGGAATCCAGCGTTGATGAGCTGATCAGTCACAGCCGCCTGGGGCTTTGCTGGCTGGCTGCTTGTAGGTTAGACCCAGTAAGGTAAAATGGTGAGTCCCTGTACAGGAACATTTTTGGACATGCAGCAATATCAGGCCCTGTATTTCTGCCACATCCTCTGGTCACAGGAGGTAAAATATATCCACAAAGGCTTTATTGAAAATACACATAACAAGGTAATGTAACATTTTGCCAATATGGTGGGGGCACCGGTGGATGTCAGGCAAGCTCACATGATTGCACAACGGCCTGGATTTATGCCCCTTCAAGGAAATCCTTAAATTAACAAGTCATACTTTAATTTTGTTAGGAACAAAAGTCTTGCGAGCGAGAGTTTGTGAGACATGTATAAACAGAGTTACTTCAGCATAGAAATACTAGAACATACGTACACCTCATTATTTGAGCTTTAGGTCACGTCTTAAGATGATAATTCACTCTTGTAACATTGCAGATAAGTCAAACAAGGAAAAGCATGCCATGGACCCTTTAAGAACAACTGGCCATAGAGGGGAATGGCTACTCTTTTACATGGTGACACACTTCAGAGCTGGGCTTGAATGTAAATCTCCCCCAGGGCAAATCTTTCTCTGATTTAGTGCTTCTACATCTGTCAGAATATAAGAGGTCCTCTGAATGAGCCGAGTGTCTGTGTCTGAGCATCTTGTACTCCTGAGGAACTTTGGTTATAATGAGAACTCTGTGGTGCTATTTTATTTCTCAGGAGTGTATTTTATAAACAGTGACTCCCAGCATCTTCATCAACATTTAGATTCTGTGATTTGATTGGCTGAGAGGACCCCCCCTGCATGGTTGTCAAGGCAGCGGGGTCTGTTCCACTCTAGTTCACACACAGTGTTGCCTGCAGGAGGAGCAGCAGACATCCACTACAACTGATGTTGTCTGAGGTGGACAGAAAGAGCCATTTAGCTAGTTTTTCTTTAAATTGATAACCAATGGCTGACTACATAGGACTTCGAAGCTGTACTTGGACTGAATTTCCAGTTCATGCGTTCAACAACTCGTCTTTAATGGCACAGGGCAGTGCAGCATCCAACTGTGATCTCACCCTCTTGACATGTCTGCTCATTGGATCCTATCGCTTTTGTATCATCCCTTTGTTAACTGCATTTAATGGAAAAGATGGAAAGATTTGGAGAAGTAAGTGAGACTGGAAGTTGAATGATAAGCATTTGACTACAGAAACTACAGTTACTTTTCTAAAAGCTTTTGGATATTTTAGTTTAGTTCAGAATACAAACATTTCCCTGCTAAAGAGACATTTGACCCTATTGTGTCTAAATTTGACTTCTTTATTTGCTACATCTTGCTATGGAAAATGTTGACATAAAGGTCATGAGCTGCATCATTTGTTAAATTAATTTTCTTTTATCTTTATGTATATTTAATCGCAAATAACAAAGAATATGCTACAGTAGCTGAACAGTTTTATTTGCCTTGTTGCATTAGAGGTTGTGCTTGTCATACCAGAAATGATTTGTTTACATCCTCTTTAAGTAGCTTGATATGACTTTGTTACAAATCATTGATGTGACATTAATACTTTCAGGTGGAGCTGCACATAAATCAACCCCATTCAGATCTATTATAGCTAGAACAAAGCTCATCTCAACCCCTGGGAAAAACACTCAACCAAGTAAGATCATACACGAGTACACGTATGGTGGATGCATTTTATTTATGCATTTGATAGTCTCTTTTTCTGATCTTATTGTTATTGAGCTTAAATCTTTTATCTGATGTAAGTCTTCCTTTCTGAACCCCCACTTTTAGAGTAACTGAAATGGCAGTTTTTTTTTTTTTTTTTTGTTGTTTTTTTTTAAAGGGAAATGTTTGTTTATAAGGGAAAAGGCCCTGTTAAAGTTGTTATAATTATGTCTGTGTGATCTTGTTTGAATTAATCTACATCTATTTTGTTGTCAGTTTTTAACAGTAGGTTTGATCTCACTCCAGCTCCAAATCTTCTGCTTTTAACAGTTTTGACCACAACATGCAAGTCTGCTGCATTGACCAGCAAACAAACTTCAGATCTTAATCACAGTCCTCTGAAAAGGACCTCTTCTGCAAAACTAGTTCATATAACCTCAAGTGGACCGGGTAAGTCTTTATTTGTGTGCTGGACACAGCTTGTGCTCCTAATAAACCTATATCAATTACCATTGTTTTAATTAAATGTTTCGGTTTTTCATGAAGGATGTCAGATTTTTTTCAGACATAAGTGGTTATTGAGTATTAAAAATGGGTATTCTATTTAAACCCTTGTATTACTAATGCACCAAGCCTTCTTAAAATGATATTTTATGACAGACCTGATATATTATCATACTGTATTTGCATCTACTACCCTGCCCTATCTTTGATTGCTGCAGTGTCTCAGGCTACCCTAACCATCTCCAGCAATAAAGTATAGCAATGTCTCTTTATCCTGCAAGGTAGGGCTTGGCAACTGAGATTTTATTTTCAATTAAGATTTTGGCTTTCACTGATTATGAAAACAAAATAATCAAGACAAAATGCTTGTGCCACACTCAGTTTTGCAACAATGCTCTTGTTTGGCCTATTATAAATCCAGCACAACCCTAGAGTGCTTTATTGTGCAAGCATTTTTTGCTTACATCAGGTGAAGTGAAACATTACTTGAGGTGACAATGCCTAAGCTCATTACTATATGTGCAGTAAAAAAGTCAAGAAGATGAATCTATCAGAACACCTGCTAAATTGAGCATCAACTTGACAGAAGTAGGCTAATCATTTCAGCTTTGCCTATAGTCTGTTATCCACCACCAGTTTAGCCATATAAAGCTTGTGGGCTAATAGCAAATTGTTATGAACAACCTAAAATGAAAGGCGACTGTAGCCTACTGTTAAATGAGTGGGAGAGAGATGGATGTATGTGGTGTGGTGAGCCCAGCAGACTGAGTGATTCTTTAGGTTATGACAAGCAAGATTGTTAACCTGAAGTAGCAAAGATTTGTTTGTAAAATAAATATAGATTAAGAAGTAACTTCCTCTGCACTGTCTATCACAATTGGGTAGATGGAATGCTAAAAATATGGTTCAATTGAAAAACCCTCTTGACTTTAATAAATGCATGGTGTTTACAAGGTCAATAAGTAATTGTTTCAAAAAAAATCATCTCAGTATTGACCAAAATAATCATTATTTCTGCCATAATTGTGCAACTTTACTGCAAGGCTAAACCAGGAACCACAGTCCATAAACCCTTCACTTTCTGCACCACTCACTTTGAGCACACCGGAATAATTGATTGAGATAAAGATTTTCAACTTTTTTGGGGGGGGGGAAACATGAGGATGAAATTCCCTAATGTAGCCCAGAACAGGAGCAGAGTGTACAACTGTTGTCACAACATGTACGTTTGTTATCCATAGTGGGCACTCTTTTTACCTTCGTTTCCTGTAAACATATGCTAAAGGTCTAATGTCTCCAACTGTCTTAATGTCTTTTACAGTCTAGTTGAACTTAACAGTTATACTGAAACTAGATGAAAAACATGATGCATTTTATAACACTTAATTAGTCACCACATTGTTTTGAGTTTTAACTTTAAATATAGTTCACACTCATAGCCAAGGACACATTTTCATAGAGCCAAGCTGTTTTCAGCTCGGCTCATCTGATAAAACTTGCCATTCCGCTACTGGTGACACAGAGAGTGTAAATCAGAAGAACAGTGGGGATTGGCATTAAATTCCCATTGGCTGCAGTTCTGCCATCTGCTCCTCCCACTCCTGTTTCTACCACCCAGCCCCCTCTGCTCTCTGTTTAGCATCTTGGTGCTGTTACAGCACCGCCATCATCAGGCTTGGAGATGCTGTTTTGCTCTGCTGTGAGAGATTCGTGTGCTTGGTGAATGGCTGAAGCCTGGATTTACCAAGAGGATTAAGGAATATTTACTTTTTTTCCGCCCCCATTGCGTTGATCAGGCTGTGCCAACAAATCACTGCTTATCCTTTTAACCCTTTTGGGGATTCCAGCCTTCCCAGCTGGGAATTAGGTTTTTAGTTGGGTGACCTGCCATGCTGAACTGGGTGCTTTCACTTTTCTCAAGACTTTCTCCATGGAGTAACTTACTATTGCTTTTTACTGATGTATTTATTTTCTGTCGGTGCCACTGTCATGTGAGGCATGATACACTCAGGCACACCATGGCATGAGGTCCCTGAAATTGGAGATATTTTTTTAAGTGATTATTAACTAATAACAGCAGCCATCTTGCTTGGTTTTGAAAGATGTTATGGTCTCCAAAGCTGTCCCTGTCGAACATCCATGTGCGTTTGACAGTCAAGGGTCTGCTTCGAAACATTCAGCTGTTGTCAGGGTGCTGGAAGAACACAATGGTTTTCCAGGCAGGTCTGTCAGTTATTTCAGTGGTAAATATTTTTGGCATTGTGATGATTTGAGGGTCTCTTGGCTATAATATTTAAGCCACGGCTCTCAGTGTTTGTCTCTGATGTAAACCTATGGTCTTAGCAATTTCTGAGCTCTATTTTTAGTATGGCTATTTATTAGTTGGCAAAGCAAGCAGATCATCTTTCATTTACCTACCTTGGTCACTAAAATATGACCCTGGGCACAAGTGTTTTAGGATACAAATCATGAATTCACAAAGAAGCTTTAGAATTTCTCCTATGTCTTCATTTCAGGATGTCTTGTTATTTTTGAGATCTTTTTAAATGATTGTTTCAAAGCTTACTAGCTGGGCCATGCAGTACTCCTGTTTCACCCTGAAGATATACCAAAGTTATTTTGGATCTTGGTCTCTAGGTCGAACCACAGAAACCTTTGTTGTGATTGTTGAACATGAATGTGGGAATGCAGTACTTTTTCTATGGCTCCCACATTGTTTCCACATTCCTCCCCTGTCTTTCAAAAATTAATGTTCAAATATTGTAACTTAGTTTGCAAACTCAAAGGGCTTAATAATGAAATGGGATTATCTTTTACTTAAACAAGCAAAAGCACAACTTCAAGTCAAATACCAGACAATCTCCTATAAATGCTACAGAGACTTATTGTTGTGTATTCTGTCAACCAAACATTTTAACAAGTGCCTGATTGTGAAGGGTCTCATCATCTACTATGCTTTGTGCTATGATGTGACATCTCCTTATAGGAGCAGAAACACTGCTGTGAAGTCTCTAAGTATTTGAAGTTGAGTGTACTAGGTAAATTGATATAAAGTTATTCTTTTTAGTCTGGGAGTAAGTTTGAAATAGAGGTAATGTGTCATAAAACCCTGTGATGAACACTGACGAAAGCTGCAGGTCCTCTGTTTCCATGGAGCAACTGTCAAATAGAGAGACATTTGTGCTTGTGTAAAGTCAGTCACATTACAGTTTAATGAAATATGAAAAGTTGAAGGTAGGAATAATATTGAACTTTGCCTGTGTGTGAATACATATATTCAGTTTTAAGTATTAGATTTACGTTACATGGGCTTCATAAAAAATTCTCTGGATAAAGCAAATAGTTTTTTGTTGCCTGAAAGTCAGATTGAAGTCATTGTAATCTCTTCCCCACTATTTCAGTCTCTAAATTGTTGCCAAAATCTCTGATATTTTCAGGTCTGGAACCCAGACACTTTTTTAGAGCATGCTAGATTATTTAAATGGATGAAAGCATTAATTTCTTTTTAGAATTCAGTAGAACGTTTTTACATAAACTCCATTTCTGGTCTTGGAGGAAAGTGCAGACAATTTTTCTTTTATGTACATATTGAAAGTGGCAACAGTGAACATGGCTTAAGAGCCCATGTTTTGTAAACATCGGAGGAGGGGAAGCAAAAGGGACACTACAACTAAATTCTGTTACGCCATAGAAGGATGAGTCATACAAATACTAACATATTGTTTACACCACCATATAGATAAATGTGATATTTCCACAAGTTGATGTGAATAAGAGCTGAGCAGAGTCTAGTGCTTGGAAATCATCAGAAGGCATAGGGCCGGGCTTTCGTCTGTATGCAGGCATGTTTGACTTGGATACAAGTCTCTTGTATTCTGTGCACAACCAGCAGAGGGCATCCTATTTTTAAAAAAACCCTATAGAGATTTGGTAAACTGCAGCATCAGTGATTTAAAGCTGAGCTGTACAGAACCGTAGTTTGATTAGAGCTGTATCAGAAATACATTGTCTTGCTATGTACATAGTATAAATTGTGTACTTGGGTTTGCCAGTTGTACCATGCATATTCAAATAAAATATTGTTTTAGTTGCTATAAAGGCTGTGCCTTTAGTGCTGAATGGTTTACTTTGGCTGTGAAACAACAGACAGGCCACTGAGAAAACTAGCTTAGAAGGTAACTGCCATTCTGTCCTGTGTAAACTGAAGTTGATCTGTGGCATGAATGCAGCATGCATTTGTTCAGATGGGGTGAATCTGGCTTTTATTATTGTAGTGTTAGTATTGCCCTGAGTCCAAACTTTGGTCTGTTCCCTGTTCTGTCCTTCACAACAGTGTTCCTCTGTTGGCTTGGCCTTAATGGCCTGCCAGGATCGTTGATATTCTCAGCAGTGTCATGTTGTTCTGATTATGGCATACAGAGAGCTGTTCGCTCAGCAGCAGCATCGGTGACGGCAATAAACAAAGAAGATGGTTAACATTCGTAATGTTGAATACCTTCTCCTTACTTCCTATAGAAAATGTAGGGGATCCTCTTTTGAAAGGCATCCAAAAACGTGCACAATTGTTTTGCTCAGACAGATGTCTATATCCCAGTTATGTTAGTGCTGTTCTGGAATGTTACGATGTTCTCAGATGATACCCTGCATAGTGCACCTATATTTAGCTTGAATATGCTCTAGGTTTTGCAGTTCATAGAGGAATATCAACACTACTTGTATACATAAATTTTAGAAAGTGCACAATGGTTGATCCAACTGTCTTAAGTAGGCTTATCATAGTTATGAAATTAGTAGCAGTTATATTGATGTTTTTTACTTGTTCTCGCTGAATTAGTGTCCCCACAGCCTGCCGGTGTTGGTGTATTTCACACATTTAAAGCTGGTGTTTCTCATGCTTTCCATACTGTACTTCATAACACTTTGCTTCATTCTAATAGCTGAAGTCATGTTGTCACGTCTGGTTAGCCTCTGTTCCACTAGCTTCAGTGACTCTATGCAATCTTTTATTTAGCATTTATTCATCATTGTTCTGTTGAGGTTTTTTTTCCCTCATATTCAAAGACAAGCCACCAACCACTAGAACATTTGACTGAAAGTCAAAATCTTTGTGCTTTTAACAAGGTCAATTAGTTGTTTTTTTTTAGCATTGGAAAAGCTACAGTTCCAGTGATTACTTTGCAGTACACACATGCAGTATGTCACTTCAGCAGTCCAAGTAGCATGGCATTAACTGTGCGTTTGTAAACAACGTAAGAAGATGTGCAATAGTTAACAGCCATCTATCGACTCTGTACCTTAGTTCAATTTACCTGCCAGTCGACCGGCATCAGCTGGTGATGTTTCACCTGCAACAGGCTTGGACATCTGGGAAATGGTGTTCATTAAAGCCTGGCAGAAACAGATTATGTTAATGTATTTTTAAAGAAATGCATCATTTTAGTGTAAGCAAGTGTATAGAAACTCACAAAATGCTATTGAAAACACCTCTGTTCCAAGCCTGGGTTTTTAGTTATTAGCCAGATTAGAAATTTCAGTGGGACTTTAAAATAGGTGTTTCTTTCTTCCAGAAGTTCCAGTTTCACTTTGACTCTCTATAGACTGTGCTGTCAGAGAAACAACTTTGCACTGATGTTCAGTATCAGTCAGTTCTTCTTCTCTACTGTACTTGTATGGAGATGCCAGAAAAGAGGAACACCAAACTGACGGAGTAAATGTTTTATCAGAAGGTTCAATGGTAGTATTTATACAAGGGTGAGTATTTAGAAACCTGATGTAAATCAAAACTACAGTAGCATGACCTTTCTAAAATGAGCTGTCCTTGGTGACCAGTGTCTGCAGAGCACTAGATTAAATTAGGACATGGAAAACTAATTGTATCCAAAGGATCCTTTTAATGTCTGGGCTGCTGATGGAGCAGCACCGGGAATTATCAGACTGGCTGATTGGACAGAACAGTTCAGGGGCTTTGATACTGGAGCCTGGTGCATCTGTTGCCCTGGCAGGAGCATGTGCACTAGGTGATACTGCTGTCTTACCAGCTGCAGTACTTCGTCGATGGGGGCATGATGATGATCAATGTTGTCACAACACTTGACACATGTTCTTTCACAGTGGACAAGAACAAGCCCAAGGCCAGGTCCCGCCAACAACACCCTCAGCAGCAAGCAGCGACCCGGCCCAACCAGAGTACTGGCCCTCCGGATGTGATACCAACGAGTCTTTCTGAGGTTGAAAGGAAGGACTGCAACATCCAGAAACTGAGGGGAGTGCTGGCAGCCAGTAACTGCAGATTTGAGGCACTCACCATAGTCTTGCAGCGAGCTTTGGCTGAGGTAAGACCATTTTATTTGAACTTAGGTTTTTTTGCATCTTTTCAATTTTACATTTAAAAACTGACTCATTTGAATCAAAAAATTTACAATTTGCATTGTCTATTGGACAGTTCTGAGGGATCACATTTAGCGTAAACATGCCCATAATAAAAGTTCAAAATGCAGAATCTGTCATTGTTGCTGCATTATCCAAAGTTTTCAGTTACTTTACAGTAAACTGAGATGAATTTGGTCTTTGGCTGTTGTTGATCTGTACGTTAAAGCTAATGCTGAAGGATGCTTTTAAGAGATTAATTTACACAGTGTGAATTTATCTTTAAATGACCACCTTGGAATATAGCAACAAGTGTTGTAACTTCAAATACTGTGCGTTAATACAAGGGAAACCAAATGGCATTTCTGTTTATAGCAACAGCATGTGTGCAGAGTGACTTTAAGGATATGAGGGGCTGCACATAGACATGATTGGAAGTTGTCCAACACAAAACAGCCATGTTAATGTCACGCACTGAACAACTAAAGCAACCCTGGATCAAAGCGGTATTAAGCTTTGTTTAAGAGCCTATTATTACTGTGGGTTTCAGCAGTTGAGTCAATGTGTTCTGCATTCTAAAAGAAGCAGCATGATCTCCTGTTTGAACATCGTCTATGAAGACTTAAGGTGTTCAATATCTAAATGGTTAAGATAAGATGTACCTAGGTGTACCTTTCACAGATTTGTAGGTTACTCAGCCAGGTAAGCATGACCCTGAACATAGATATCTAAGCTTGCGGTTTGTTTTAGTTTCTGTTTTAATAGCAATGACACATGATTGGCTTCCAGTAACTGGATGCCCAGAGGGATTATTCTTCCCAATGTGCATCACAAACAGGCTTATCTCATCAGTTACCCTCCACCCAATCCCAGTGTTTGACCTCCATGATCTAGTCAAAGAAAAATGATGTGGTGCTTGGACTCTAAGTATCTCTGCATCAGGAGCCCTGCAGTCTAATATAAATTAACATTTAATAGAATTGGCCTAATACTTGGCAAATACTAAAGAGTTATGTTGCCCTTTACTCTTCATTACACCCTTGCTTACAATGCCTGTTGCGTTGACAAATCCCAGTCGACATTGGGCAAGATGTGGGATACATCTTAGACAGGTTCCCAGTCTATCACAGGGTTGACAAGTCATAACAAACACTCACATTCACACCTGTGGGCAATTTAGAGTCACCACTCGACCTAACCTGCATGTCTTTGGGCCATGGGAAGAAGCCAGAGTACATGGAGAAAACCTACACACAAACAGCCCAGTCTGCCACAAGGTTCAACCCTGAAACCTTTTGCTGTGAAGTCACAGTGCTAAACACTGCACCACTATAATGCTCAGTAAATGTGTTTGATTTTTTTTTTGTCAGATGAGGCCTTGTTGAGTAGCACAGGGATAGGCATCAGCTCTGCCATGGTTTTTCCTCTTGAAGCGAGAACTCCACTAGACCTGACAGTGTTGCTACAAACATAAGGTTCTAAAAATAACCTGCACACACACCAAACTTTTTCAGTACAGCATTCCTGTAATGCAGACAGATGAGACATACAGGACACCATGTTTGTGCCAAGGAAAAGCACTACAGCAACAACCCAATTTCAGTCCCTACTGTAGCTGTAGTGTCCCAAATTGTGTGATAGGCAGTCCTGCCAGAGTCTAGCAGTGTTTGTGGGTAAGGGATCATATACTAGTTGCTGCTGTAGTGACTCATTCTAGTTAGTCAAGGCACCTGGTGTGACTCTGTATGCATGACATGATTCTGGAGAAATTGTGTTGCTACCAAAGTGAAAAGAAGTGGTTGTTGACTCCATCAATGTGTTCCAATGTTATTTCACAAGCTGCTGTTGTGCACTTGAGCTATCAGCAGCTGAGAACAATTTCAGAAGTTAATCTGCTGCTTCTCTCAGCTGTAAGACAAAGCCACTCATTTTTATTTCCTTTGGCCTAGATAACAGAAACTCCCATTACTGCTGCCTTACTCCCAAGTTTGGCATGAGGCAGATCTCTTCTGGCAGCATTGTCATAGCTGCTGTGGTGACAGTTTATCATCAGTCCAATTTTAGCTTCAGTGAGTACTGTTGCCTAATTCTGCTACAAGTTGCACTGCACCACTGATCAAAAAGGTGAAAAATATAGATGTTCTGACTATGCACTTAAGTTAAATTGACATTTATTTCTGTGATGTTTAGGAGCCATCTAGGTAACATTTTTACCTGTTGAGGCTCAAGTTTACATTCCAGGTATTGGAAACCAGTAGAAATGTAAATTTTGAGAGTAATGTGGAGGGAAATGACGGATGTAAATGCGCAGTCATACTAAACAAAGGTGGAGGAAAATGTTTAAATATACCAGATGCTGGCCCATGCAATGTGACAGCTGGTATTTAAGGCACAGTGCATGATCTCCAGTCACTGATGTTTGACTCGTATTCCTCTGTTTGGGCAGCAGGGTTGGGAAAGTGATTACATCAACAAACAAACACAGCATATTTGTTCCTCTATGGAGAAGCAGCTGTCTCAGCCTCAGTGAATCTACTTTAACTACAGCATGTTTTGCTTTTTTCACCCCCTCCACTGCAAACAGTGGTTCTAGTGGACATTCATACATACTGAATCTAAGACCTACTTAACATTCTGTAGGTTGTATTCAATTTAAATACAGAAAACTAACATTTGTGTATGAATTGTGTTAATGGGGAGGTCTGTTGTACAGGTTTGCCCATTGGAATCTGCTGGTCACTTCTAAGACCAAGGATAGGAGGCTGGATGTTCCCATCATAGTGTGAGAATGTTCCAGCTGTTGACTTGATATGGTTATGAACAGCAGCCAAACACTAAGTAAAGACTGAGCACTGCTTCTTATCTGTTTAGATGGGTTGCGTAAACAGTGGACCTGGTTTGCCATACCTTCTCTCAATGAGAAAATGTTGTGACACGTTTCAGTTCACTTTAAGGATAAAGGCACAGTTCAAATACCTAAAGAAGAGATATTTCCTTTACTGGTATTCTAATTTTCATAGTATTTCCAGGAAATTGGAATGTGATCTGAGGCAGTTAGTCATTGATCTCAGTCTACCATCAAGTGTTATTCTACACCTGACATGGTATCATCGTTATACACGGGGGACACTGGCTAGATGTGCCTTAGAGTTGCAGAGGCATTACCAGCTGAGAAATTGGATATCAAATTCAAATATCAAAAGCATCCATATCCAAACACATCTGCAGTCCATCCATCCATTTTCCTCTGCTTATCCGGGACCGGGTCGCGGGGGCAGCAGTCTAAGCAAAGATGCCCAGACTTCCCTCTCTCCAGACACTTCCTCCAGCTCCTCCGGGG